GAAATGTATCTGCAAAAATAGAAACCTTATGGGGTAGTTTTTTTTTTTCGTCTGTACTTTCTTTATAGGAGATTTGTACCTTCTGAACACATTACATGGATTGCCTTTCACTTACTCAGGCAAACAAGGAATTGCTGCACTTAAATGGCTTCACAAGAATGAAGAACAAGAAATTATTAGTCTTAAAATGTTTTGTTCTTTTTCCTGGTGGAGACATACCTAAAAACACACTGTATTGACATTTTCAGATAGTGTGAAATAGTTATACTATTTTTTTCTTCCTTTTCACAGAATACTTTTCAGACCCTGCGTTGCCTAACAGAGTGGAAGCACAGGTGGCCGAATTAAACAGCAAATTGAAGAGAGCAAAACCACAATAAGAATCATGTGGTGCACTAAGAATAAGTTTTGATAATCATTTCTCATGTGGAATAGTCTGTGCCCATGAAAGTGAGAAATGATATGGTGATAAGTAGCTACTAATAGTTCATACTGCAGCCCAGCTGCTTGAAACTTGTGCGCAGAACTTGTGTGCATAACTTGTGTGCATAACTTGTGCTTTGTAAAAGAAAATGATAAATAACTTTGTCACATTTGTCATGATTTGGTTTGTTGTACATTTGCCTTTATTTATTTCTTTTTATTTGTGTTGTTTCTAGGGTTCTTCATCTGTAATGAATGAACATAAATCTTGCTTATTGAGCTTTATTCCTCATTGTTCATTAGTGATTTTGATCTTGTTTAAACACCTACACTAAGGTTAAATATTTACTTTATATTTTGGCTGGTGCATGCATGCTGGTTGAAATTTTCTCCAGGTCCTTAGCCATTGTGGGTAGATAAGACATAATGCCTTTACCTTGATTCATTGGTGTGCTCCAAGCTGATTTTCACAATTGGACTTGTAGTTACAACTTATTATGTATAATTTCTATGGTCAACTATCTTACGAAGAAAATTTTGGCTATTATATATGAATGATATCAGGAACCTAGCATGCATTTTTCATGGAACACTTTTCCTATTTGTGGAAAAGTCTCAGGTATTTACACCTGGAAAGTGTTGAGAATTTCATAAACCTTCCTTTATAAGGTTACAAGATGGCACATGGTCTAATTGGCTGAAACAGCTTGCTCTAAGACACTAAAAAAATTTGGCGAGCTGGATTGTGTAAGCTTTGGAGGTGAATTTCTTACATCATTTCTTCAGCTTTTTGACAAGATTTGAACCCTGTGGTTCTGACAAACCCAAAGTGAAGGTGGACTTGGCCTTGGATCACAGGGCCTAGGAACACAAAGATCCAGGAATTCTTTTTAATAAGGGGAGCCCAAAGTTTGCTTTGAAACAATTTTTTTTTGTTATTTACAGCCTAAATGAGCTAGGAAATACTCAGTTCATGTTGAGTAGTAACATGATTCTCAAGCTGCCAGAATTTTGGTGTCAGACAAAGAGCAGAAGAAAAGAAAAACCTCACAGATCTGGGGGGGACCTCCTGGGCCATCCTCTTAGATCACCACCAGCTGCTTCTCCTGACTTCATGGAGGCTAACTGCAGCAGTGTTAACACTGTTTGAAGTTTTTAAGTATATCAACAAAGTTGAAATGGTAAATTGGCTACCGTTATGATTATAAAAGCTGACGTTTCAGGCGTTAGCCCTTCGTCGGAGCCCTTCGCTCTGACAAAGGGCTAACGCTCGAAACGTCAGCTTTTATAATCGTAACGGTGGCCAATTTACCATTTTCAACTTTGTTGATATATTCAAATTATTTCGTTACCCCCACCAACGCAGCCCCAAACAGTTTCTTTAGAAACTATCAGCCTTTATTCATTTGAAGTATTTAAGGTCTGCCACGTCTCGAGTTTCTCCCTACTCTTCTTCATGCCCTTGCCATTTCCTGAGTATTTGACAGTGGAACGGAGCGCACCAGAGGTTTATTGTTTGTTCATCCCCAATCTCTCTTTCTCCAGATAATTGCTTACTTTTGGGAGTCTGGGTCTAGTAAGATAACCGCTTACTTGTAACACCACGTGTTCGCCTTGAGAGCGTCCGAGATTTCGTGAGCGGGTTTTGTGAAGTCTTACGGGCAGCAATATACTTCGCTAGGTTGAACATTTTTGAAAATTTTCCGTGACAAAAATGTGGGAGAATGTACCTGATTTTCTGGAGCTATTCAGGAACTTTCCTGTTTCCATATCAGTTCTGTTTGTGGTGCCAATAGTCCTTCTGAGCGGCCCCGTTTCACCTGTCATGGCTGCGCACGAGTTTCCCGTATTCAGAATGCAACAATTTGACCTTCACCAAACTCAAAGCGGTAAGTCTTTACCGAGAATAAATTATTATTAAAAAAACAATATTAGATCAATCATTCTAAAGAAATACAATCTAGGAACAGAGAATCCGTGGATGGATTTATTCACAGACTACCCTTCTACGGTTCTATTTTTGATGCGCGTTTCTCGTGTTCCACGCTTTCTTGATAAAAATCTTAAATAAATTTATTACATAGTATGAAAGTGACAGTATTATATATTTTGAATGTGAATGAATAGAGTTCTCTCAGTTTTAAGTCTTTGGACAACTATTATATGATTCAGACGACCCAAGCAAATCCATACCAAGGTCGTATGATTCCACCTCAGTTTGCTATTAAAATATTTTGGGCAGGTCTTGTAAAATAGATTATAGATAAAATGACTGCCTACTTCCGCAGCATGTCTGTCTCTGTGGTGATAATAAATGTTAATATTTCTTTGTGATGGGTTGGAGAGGCATTCAGGTAAAAAAAAAAAAAATGGAATTTTAGCGGTACAAGGGTTAGGGGGAGAGTTATTGTTACTAATACTTTGTGTATTTAGATGGTAAGGGTGGGAAAGTCTGTGTGGAAAGAGGTTGTGTTTTTTTGAAACACCAGTGTTATTTGTTCTTGAATTCTATTAACCTTCCTACCTATGAGACAACAGGTATTTTTACACAGGTAATTAATTACAGGTCACAAAATGAACTCTTTTCTCTTGTTAAAGGAGTGTAAATTACATCAAGTAATTAAAGGAAATCTAAACTTAATGAACTCTTTTTTCATCCTAGGATCTCGCAGCTCACTGGTTAACATGGAAGCACGACCCTTGACCTCTGACATGTTAACAAGACGTTGTGTGGTGACAAGGCTATCAGATCTCACCATTGACAGATTTAAGGATGCTGTCCAAACCTTTGGGGCAGGCGCAGTACTGATTCTGCTCCCAAAAAATACATCTGTGGCCTCCCTTGATCAGCTGGAGGTACGAATAGTCCTTTTTACAGTTGTGTGCTTGGTTGCCAAGCCTTTGAATGGGAGTGAGGCTAGGGGTGACCTTGTTATGATACAAACCTCACTGCCTTTCAAATGTAAATCACTTTGTTGTCATGCTAACTAGATACAGGTCTCTATCACAACAAGGTCACCTTCAGCCTCACTCCAAATCAAAGGCTTGGCAACTAAGTACACAACTGTAAAATGGCCTATTCTAAAAGTAGTTTAATTGGTGGCCTGCCTGGTTGTTAACATCTGCTAATACCCCTTAAGACTGAGTTAGGAAGGGCATCTTGCCAAACAAATCTGTCTCCTTTTAAGTTCTGTTATGATCAGTGCATCTCTCTTCTGAATAAAGTATTGATGCTTGGAAATACTCTTAAATATGAGGGCTCTCTACTGAGGTTATCAACCCTGTACACTTTGTCTAAGAAAGAATTAGACTTTGACCGAGTTATTTGTTCTTTGTCTGAAATTGAAATCACCTTTTTTGCTGTGCACAAGTTTTCTTTCTTCAAGAGTTTAAGGCAAGAAGGGGGAGATAAACAATAGCCTCAAATAGGCTGTGTATTGTGTTATAAATGTAGGTGGGATAGACAGAAAATTTTCATTTTTGTGGTTTTGTTCATAAAATGTACTTGCAGAAGAAAAATGTGTTGACTCCAAATTCCTTTGAAGTGTGAAAGTCATTGTAAGTTATTGATCTAAGTTATCTAATAAAGCTATCTACATAGTAGGGAGAGAGCTAAGTGCCATTTAAACAATTCACTTAAAGTGTCTATATGACCAACAGGATTTTTATTGTTTTAGTATCTCTTTAACCGGTAAAAAAGTATTCTCAAAAAAAAAAATTTGATTCTGATGCCTCTTCACCCTAAAATCGAGCTTTAAAGTTCCCGCTTCGGCCATGCCCAATGAAGTCGACCGTGTAAGGGAAGATTGGTGATGAGTGATGTCACTTCAGGAGCGTCTGAGCATCGTTTTGTTACTTTGCTTGACAAACGCAGTACTTTCACAACACATCTATCAGGCATATTTAGGTCGCCGAAAACTCTTTACTTTACTGAAAAAAAAAAACAGTGAAATGAACCACTGGCGGGATTTGGTGCGTTCCTGACTTGACGTCACGACCTATTCTGAACCCAATCTCTTTTTTGCCCCAACTCACCGTCACCTTTAATGAGTGTGGCCAAAGCGGGAAGTTTAAAGCTCGAGTGCAGGGCGAAGACTCATCAGAAGACAATTTTTATTTAAGAGTACTTTTTTACATGTTAAATACATACCAAAACTATGAAAACCCTGTTGGCCGTATAGACACTTTAACTGAATGTACAAATTCTATGTTCAGTAGTTCAACTTACTCAAGAATACATGTATCTTGTAGAGTTGCTGGTGCCCTCAAAAATAATGTTTAACGAAGTAACATGTATGTATTTTGGACACCCTCTCTTTGTCTTAGGAGTGGCAGCAGCTGGAGAGAGATCTATTAACCATTGAGGTTCCAGTGGCTGTATATTTTGCTTATGAAGACAAAGAGTTATCAGAAATTTATGATGATATCAAAACAGCTGTGACCAGTGATCAAGCTGGTTCAGCATTTGAAGGTATGTAAAGAATTGTCTTATTATAAATGAAAGGCAAAAGATATTCAGGAAGAGTTGTATGTTAAAAAGTAAAGCCACTTGTAGAATGGCGTAGGAGTCAGAAGGTTTAAATCCTTCCAAGCTACAATAGTTTTCAGCAGCTCGGAATAACAAGACGTTTGCTACTCCTTCCTGGACACGAGGCTAGTCTAATATATAGATTTAGCCCAGCCTAAAAGTGGAGCTCGCATTTTTTTTCCCTGCAATGTCTCAAGGGCACAACACCTTGCCTTATATATACTGGGTAACTGTATTGCAGTAATAGCTTTGTGTGTGTGTGTGTGTGTGTGTGTGTGTGTGTCTTTTTCTCTTTTTTGTTATTTTCCTATTTTTTTTTTCTTAATTTCTATTTTTTATGTAAACGAACGAAAGTGCTTTAAATAAATTTATTAAAAAGAAAAAGAAAAAAAGGAAAAAACAAAAAAAAACATCGTCTTGTCCCAGCCAGGACTTGAACCTAGGTAGTCCGACTCAGAGCCCTGTGCACTGACCACTGGACTACTGGACAAAACTGTGGTGTTGGCATACCCATGGTATATTTGACCGCACATGCTAAAAGTAGCACCTTGTACGGACGCCCATACAGTCATAAGTCCAATTTTTTCAGCTTGATTGGTTACTACTACCATTTTGTATAATGATGGGGCTTTGCTGTGTGCGCTGCGAGCTCCACTATTACTGTGTCAATACAGCATTTTATTAAAATTCATGGAGTTTAATTCCCCATACTCTCGACAAGATGAACAACCATTCTCTCAAAGTTTCCCAGACTGTTAAAGTGTTTGCTGTTAGCATTTTGTACTCCTGAATGGAGAAGAGGTACTGTGAAAGGTAAGTGTCTTGTTCAAAGACACAACAAAGGCTTGAGCCCAAAGCTCAGTACACTGGTTGCGGGGACACCAAGGCCCCGTCAATCTCAACTGTTACTTGTAAACCTTGAGAGTGAGTCATTACAGTTAACTGGTTGTGAGGACACCAAGGTCTCATCAGTCCCAACTGATACTTGTAAACCTTGAGAGTGAGTCATTATAGTTAACTGGTTGCAAGGATACGAAGGTCTCGTCAGTTTCAACTGATACTTGTAAACCTTGAGAGTGAGTCATTACTGTTAACTGGTTGTGAGGACACTAAGGTCTCGTCAGTCTCAACTGATACTTGTAAACCTTGAGAGTGAGTCATTACAGTTAACTGGTTGCTAGGATACGAAGGTCTCATCAGTCTCAACTGATACTAGTAAACCTCGAGAGTGAGTCATTACAGTTAACTGGTTGCAAGGATATGAAGGTCTTGTCAGTCTCAACTGATACTTGTAAACCTTGAGAGTGAGTCATTACAGTTAACTCCAGGTGATCTGTGACGTCATTGCGGGGGCCTGGGGAAAGAATTTTAATGCCGTATCCCATTAACCAACGCGCGCACCAATTCAACCTGTTTTCATGGCGGTCGGTTGGCGTGATGCAAGGTCGATGTAGCTAACTACTTTTGCACTCTAACAAGTGAGAAGACTTGTCATGGGTAGTTTGAACAATGCAGGTACTGCCATGAAAAGAAACTCCATGTCTGTGTGGTTAAATACTTTGACAGCTTTTCGCGATGAACATTGCAGACAATCCAAACGTAAGTTCGATGTACTCATGCATAATTTGTATGAAGTTTGCTTTTTTATTTCATACTTATGTACTGGATCGGGCATTTGCTTTATCAACAGTAAATGTTATTCGCATTAAAGCTGCCTTGTTTCTGGGAATGGTGTGTATGTGTTGATTTTATTTTTTATATGTGCTGATTTTAAAGAAGTTTTGATCGAGCCTTCGTTGCTCTCTTGAAGTCAGTTCCATTATCGCGGGCTTTTTGACACGGGGATATTCAGCATTTAAAGTACTTTTAAACATGTAGTTTCTTTTGCCGGCTAATTGTTTTTATTTTGATTTTTGTTGTTTGTTTGGATGTCTTGTCGAGCAAAGGAAAATGTGCTTCACACCGCGTCAGTAATTCGACTTCATTGCCCATTTCAAAACTGTGGTAAATTTTAGAAAAACAAAAAGAATTTAAGCGAACATCTTTGTCTTTATCCGGAGCACAAACTGGATGGCTTGTCAACCTCTTGGAAACAGGTTTCATTAAGACAATGTGCAGAAAAATTTCTAGACGACGAGAGTAATCCTTATTCCAGGAAGCAAAGGGTCAGTGAAGTGCTGAACTGTCTGAACGATGAAGAACTTGTGGATTTAGTTTTACCAAAGATTGCCAAAATTTTGTCACCTGTGGACTTTTTACGTCAAGGAACTGATGGAAATCATGATTTTCACAGCAAATTATTGAAGTTCAGAGATGAACTTTTCCTGCACTACCCAGAACTTTAGGCACTGTTTTCTCCGGAGCCCTCAACAAGCACTGGTTTCTATAACCAGAGGCAAGTGTTCACTGAAATAGTTCAAAAGAACAAACCTAATTCTTGCAACTGGCTCCTTGAAATTGACAATGGTTCTTTTTTCAAGGATGTTGTTATGCCTTGTGTTTTTGAAAAAACAGCACTCGGCATTTTTGGAATTTTTTTTGTGGAATTGTCAGGTCCCTTGCGATTGGACAAAAGGAAACACAAGATGCACTAAGAAACAAGTGGGGAAAAAATTGGAAGTGGCCATTGGCATCAATTCAATTTTAAGTAAAGATGAGATTTTTGGTAATCTGAATGACACCCACCAAGAATTACTGAGACAAATTGGTCCAGAATTTAATGAATTTGGAGAAGTGGTTGTAGGCCATGTTGACAATGAAAAGTACATTTCATTGTTTCTTGCCCAACCTGGAACTCAGAGTGTAATAAATACACCCAACAATTGTCTGATTCTAATGGATTACACAGATGGTTTTCCGTGGCTTAAATGGTCTCATCATTTTACCGCAGAAACCAGTGTAAGAGTGAAACTAGTTGAGCCTTACAATTTACTTAGCACAGTTTTGACTGTTGCCCTTTGGTTGGGGAATGATGACTAGGAGACAAAAAAAAATGTGGTCATGCTGTTTATAAACAGCTTCAAGAGCTAAAACAATTAAACATCCACTGACTGGGCAAGAAATAAAAATTACTAGTCTAAGACACACTTGTGGGGATGGTAAGGAAAGGAGGTTATCTACTGGCAGTTCATCTGCCAAATCTACTTATCTAATCCCAGAAGCTCCAGAGCACCAGAGCCAACTGGGTGACATGAAGATCATCTGTCCAGAACCAGTTTGGACAGTTTTAGATGCAGAGAGTTGCCAAAAAGAAAATTTGAGACTGAACTATGTGGAAAAGCCCCCACTATAGAAAAGCACAGAGAGTTTGCAAAACAAAATCTTGGGAACACTGGGCGTAAAAATTTGAATGGTTTCAGTCACCTGAAACACTATGTTTGCGAATTGCAAAAATTGCAGCAGGTAAAATTTGCCTTTTTCAAACTAGTTCACATCAACAGTGATTGTATTGTGCCAGAAAATATCTATATCTAATCCACAGGAAGGTTTTTTGGTTTAACACACTTAGCCACCAGGAAGTTGTCTTCAGCTTTACTTTCCTTGCAACAATAGAGGTAGCGGTCTGTAGGGTGATTATGGATATTTCTACAAAATGTGTAGCTCCATAAAATATTGATATCTCCCCCATGGAAGGGATTTTTTATAAGCACCCCACGCTCCAGAAATTCTGAAAAATCTCCCAAATTTTTTTTTATAATTTTTGGTCTTTGAGAATGAGATCCCCAGGAATTTTCATTTACCTTCTGTGGAGGGGGTGGGGGGATAATGGCTAGTTACTGGAACTACACAATAAGAATAACAAAACAAAATGTGTATAGCAACATGCTCAAAAATGATTAAAGTCCTTTTAAAATTAGGAAGTAGCATGTATGCCTATCACAAGTTTGCACCCTTTCACAAAGAATCCTGTAAAATTATAATCTACATTTTACATAAATTGGGTATAGTATATGACCCAACTGATACTGTGTACCACAATAATATCTGGAATTTTTACAGTTTAAAAAATTAGTTGTGTGCTACACAGCTCTGCAAGTCTGTTCATTTCATTTCTGTTCATCTTCATGACCAAAGATTCCTTGAGTCTACATGTCATGTCATTACCAGAGTTGGAGAGGAAGGTTCGAAGGCAGAGTTGTATCATTGAAGCAGAAGTCAACCAGAAATCGAGTGGCAAATGGACGGAGGAATGTATCTTGGCAAGTGAAAAACCACCATACCGGATTACAGTGGGACTGATGTGTCAAAATGAGCCTAAATTGAGCCAGTTGAAAGAAGCTGCTACAAAAGACTCCATCCTTGAAGCGAGCAGCTGATGGAGGCCTTCAGGCAACTTACCAACCAAGCTCGAACGTCCATGGAAATCCCCAGGAAAAGTATCTGGTCTTGAAAGATCCGACTCTCGTCAGAGCTAGGTAGTTTGCTTGTGTACGTCTCTTAAGCACATTACCATCGCACAATAAAACTGAGTACGTCGTCAAAATGTACTCCCTGATGGAAATGAATTTTAAAACAGTCTTCTGCGGGAAAGAATCGAGCGCTGAGTCGAGAATACTATCCCAGCATTGGACTCACAGAAGCCATCCAAGTGAGTAAAATTTTCACCTTTCAGAATAATAGCTGTCTTTCAGAACATTTCTTTGTCGCAAACTTTCCTGCATGGCGTCCGACCGACCGCTATGCTTCAAAAACAGATTGAATTGGCGCACGCGTTTGTTTATGGGATACGGTATTAAAATTTCTTTCCCCAGGCCCCTGCAATGACGTCACAGATCATCTGGCTGGTTGTGAGGACACCAAGGTCTCATCAGTCTTAACTGATACTTGTAGACCTCAGGGTCTGGGTCATTACAGTTTACAGCTCTTATCAAGTTTAGATAGCAATGATTTGGAAATTTCTTTAGTTTTTACCACCAATTCATGTTGATGTTACTTGACTGTATGATTTTAGCTTTACTTGGAGTTGCTTCAGCTAGTGGGTATCAAATGGTTGTGAATGTTGGAGAAGCCAAACAGATAAAAGATGCAGCTATTACAAGTTTACAGGTACCATTTGTGATTATTTTATGAATTGCTAACATGGAGAATAGTACATTTTTTATATTCACTATATAATTACAGTGTTTAATAATGTTTAAGCTGCACTCACAGGTAAGCTGTACCTGTAGATAAGCTGCTCCTTGAGTTTGGCAACTCAAAAGTTTTTGAAAACAAATCACTTATGGAGTCTTGATTTAGAGAATTGTCAATATTTTGTGTTTTGAAAATCCTTTCTCCATGAATCGCACTCAGTTTGGTTATACACCATGCCTTATCTGAGCCGAGATGAGAAAGGAGAACAAAAGCTCTGTCAAAAGCCACTCTTGTGCAGATGAATTGCCATGAGTGGAAGAGAACTTTGCAACATTTTTTAGCATTTTTTACCAATGGGTTGCTTCATTTTATATTTTTAGAACATGGTATGTTTTGATTTCTATGAAAAAAGTGATTCTATTTTGATTTTATCGGACAAGAAGTACACAAACTTTTAATGAACTTGACCTTGGACATTTTGGTCAGTTGCCCTAGCCTCTTGCAGCTGGGAATTCATACTTAGTTTTGTGAGTTTTTTTCTGTTGTTGTTTTTAGGGGAAGTTGTCAGGAATGGGAATTGATGAACAACTGCCCACAATTGCTGTTGTAGCTCACTATGATGCTTTTGGTATAGCACCGGTAAGGCAATTTTAAACTCGCATTAAATGATTAAGACTGGCTCTTAAACTCTGTCATTAAGCTGTTCAGAGGAAATACCCTAGTAATGATTTTGTGATTCGTGAGTTTTCATACAGAGGTTATGAACATACTATTGCATACCAATAGACAGGAAACATTTATTATAACAATAGGTGTTCCTTGACTGGTAACTGATGAGGCCTGTAGTGCAGTGATGATTGATATAATTGTATGCAATATTTTAAAGTGTATGAAAAAGTGTAGGCAATATTTTATGTCACCTTTTACAGTATTTAATGTCTTCCTTTCTAGAGTATTTCATTTGGATCAGATGATAATGGTAGTGGGGTTGTGGCTCTCCTAGAATTGGCAAGATTGTTTTCAAGGTCAGTCAGAAATTTGATTTGTACTTAACTTCATGTAAAGAATATCAAAATAATAGGATGCATCATGGCATATCCTTTCATTGCAAAACACACAGCATCATGAAACAGCTATAAATACTGAATACAAGGAATTGACTGTAACACTTAATGCCAGACGCTGTTGAAATTTGACAGCTGCAGAAATGTAGTCTGTACCTCAAAATTTTAGTAAAACCTTACAATGGTTACAGCTGTATCCCATGCAGTGAAAAAGCCACTCTTGGGATGAGTTTTACATGAAAGTGGAAGAGAATGTGAACTGAGAAATAAAAAATTTGACAGTCAACAGGATGCTAGAGCATATCAAACAACAACAATCAATATGAGTTTCCATCTCTTGGGCAAACTTTGATTCATGCTCTGTTATTTTTCAGGCTGTATGCAGATCCTAGAATGCAAGCAAGGTATGCTTTTGATTACTGAGTACTGTTTTGAAGAAGTACACAGTGTAGTTTGCTTCTGAAGTAAGTTGTCTATCCTTTTGGTTTACCACCTAATGTAAATTCTCTTCACATTGTAAAGATACAATTTGGTGTTCTTTCTCTCTGGTGGAGGAAAGTTTAATTATCAAGGGACAAAAAGGTGGCTGGAGGACAATCTGGATAATCCAGGTAGGTACATGGACATAAACAGGTATAATACCAACCACATTTATAATTATGTATACAAGAATTAGGAATAATGAGAAGAAAATGAAGCATTAAAAAAATCACAATTGGATGGTATGTACTGTACATACATTGGTTTATGTGTACATGTAGTAGGTATGCCCACTTTAGACCCTAACATCCGCATGTATATTCTCCAGACTGTTCTCCATACACATTCTATCATTATTACAAGGAGAGTTTAATTAATAATCAAGAGCTTCTTTAGTTAGTGATCACTTCCCTTATTCTGGTGACCTTAATGTGCGATTAAAGGGTGAAATATAAGGAGATATTAGATGTTAACCACTTTGAGGTCAGAGTCAAACCACCTTCTTCTGGACAATTCATTTACAAGTCAATGATTTTTGTTTCTCAGAAACAAGTGTACTCAGTGACGTGGACTATGTGTTATGTCTGGATAGCATTGGGAAGACAGATCATATGTTTTTACATGTTTCCAAACCTCCAAAAGAAGGAACTCCTGCATTTGCCTTAGTAGAGGTATGTTCAATATATCTTCTTAGACTTGCTGGTGTGTAGTATTGTTGAGTTTTTTTGATGATTTGTACCATACTTTGACGAGCCTGTGGAGAAAGTCAAGATACAAACTTAAAGGATATGCTGTAGCTGTGAGAAAAAATAAGGATGACTTTAATAGCCATAAAGACTGTAGTGAAGTTCTGTTTTTTCAAACCATTTGAGAACAAGCACAAATGATTGGACCTGTTTGATAAAAATTATTCAATGTTAACGACCATGAAGAATTGGAAATAAGACAACACCTAGAGTGCATCCAAAGTTTCAGAGATTCAGGTCTAAATATTTCGGACCAATACTCATGGTCTTAAAAAAAAATGAGGAGAATTTGCTACCTTCCTAAAATCAAGAAATGGATAGATATTCTAGTCTTCTTGGATAAGGATGAATAAAACCGTAGGCTCCGTCTCCTGCAGGGTTAGGGGTAGGAGACGTTAATTTCCCATGCACGAGATTACTGTGTGGTGGATGTCCTCCCCTAGGTGGGATGGGTGGGAATTGGCCCTGAAAAGCCCCTATGGGGAGTGGTCAATTAACCTATGTATGTATGTATGTCTCCATTGTAGAGGGTCATTATCAGCTCCAGAATTGTTTTTCTATCTGGGCTCTAATTTTTGAGAGTAAAGACATCGTTTATTAATTTTTTACATCTTTTTCTTCAACCCAATAGGAATTTAAAATGGTAAGTCCATTTTCAACTCATTCTGATAATTATAACAAAGTCTTTCAAAGTATATATTTGACAACTAAAATTGTAAAAATGTTTACCATAAATAAGAAAGAGATAAAAAACTCAGAAACGGAGAAAGACACTTTCTGGGATTTTCAATTATACTTAATGCATTTAGTTTATCTCACTTTAGATATCATTAGACCACAAGCACTAAAATGTTTTCTTTTGGTATGTGACTGCTGAGTGCTGTGCTTTAAACATTGTCTTCAAATTTTTTTTCCCCACTTTTCATGGCAACCAAAACAGCCACTAGAGGGCTGTTATTGTCCCCACCCTTTTTGCAAATGTAGGTGTAGAATCTAACTAATGATAACAACTTTTGATTCTCTTTAATTCAATTCATGAATGAATTTGAATTATGTTCATTCATTCTTTTAGGTAGCAGAAGAAATTTTTAAGGACCTTAATTTTACTATGGTCCACAAGAAAATTAACTTGGCAGAGGAGACATTGTCGTGGGAACATGAAAGATTTTCTCTGCACACACAGCGTCTTCCAGCTGGTACATTATCTCACCTGGCTGACCCACAAGTTTTAGGAAGATCATCAATCTTTGATGTTAGGTGAGATGCAGTAAATACTATCATTTTCTTGTCTTTTATTTGCATTTTTTTTGTTGTTGTTGTTGTTTCCTTTCATTTGTTATCAGTTCACAAAAAACATGAGGCCTACATAAACCCAAATACACATTTTAAATTTTAAGTAACAACTGTGCAACTGCTGCCATTAGCTCCATTTACCTCTTACTATTCCCTGGACACTCGGTAATATTACTTCGGCTTTCAACAATGCATTATGTTCCACTAGATGCAATGTGATGCTGACTCGTAATTTGCATATTTTTATTATTTTCAAAAAAGAACCCCACTGTTTGATACTGACAGCACTTTTAGATTACAGCTCTTGTTTTGCTTTTTTTTTTTTATTTTTTTTTTATTGCAAACTGAATATTGCCACACTGAATATTGCCACACATGTGATCACTTTTCCTATTTTTATTTTAGATCGTCTGAGAATGATGGGAAATTAAATCGTAATGTAGAGTATATTGCTGAAGTTCTGGCTAGACATGTTTTTAATTTAACAACAAAGGTGAGCTCCTTGTGGATAAATTATGGTCACAAAAGAGTAAGGCCATTTTAAAAATTAGGTTCACTCACATACATGTACTCGTACCTGTAACTGCAGAAGTTTATCTTGATCTCTGTTGCTTGAAGCAAGTGTGAGTTTTGTGTTTTTCTTGGGTAGGCTGGGAGTTGATTACAGAATGCTCTCAAGCCATTTTGGTTTTGTTGGCAGTTTGCCATTTCCTTTTACATATTAATTTTATACTGAGGGAAACATGAGGGAACTGCAGTTGATGTTTCGCTTCTTTTCTCTCGGATTTTCATTAAATTGGCACATGATGTGTAACATTTGTTTCAAGTGACAATGTTTGTGTTTCTTCATTGCTGCTTCTTTCCTGTTAAGCATAATCTAAACGTTCAAGATGTATTTGTATTATTGTTGTTAAAAAGGTTGTGGTCATTAATGGTGGTGGATAAACAAGAAATGTGTACTGTAGTATCATCATTGGTCTCACATTGTTTTCAGCTCTGATGAGACCCAACCTTTCAACTTCATTTTGCCAGAGTACGTGTTCTTCAGGCAATGAAGTCAACTGTTCATGTATAGCCTTATGAAGTGGTTAGTTTCAACAGCTGTATTTTGTATTCTTATTTGCAGGGTTTCTCTAAGAATATGAGAGTGTTCAGTGCTTCAATGGTGAGTTGACAATTAGTTTAAAGTCAGTTACACTCCAGTCTGAAAATATCCTGTAGAATACACCCATTCTTATTTTCTCTGTTCCTGTGCAAACAAAGTTGTGATAAGCCTGCTACTTTTGTACTTGCTTTGGAATCTTGTGGACTAAGCTTGTATGATGCAGTAAAATAAATAGTTCCTCAATCAGTGTTCTTCTTATTCTAGTTTTGAGCCACATGTACTTGTAACCTAGCTTAGCCCATGAAGCTAACAGGATTTATTTCTGTATATAAACCACACACAACCCACAGTTCCTCCATTCGCTCTGATGAAGGGCTAACGCTCGAAACGTCTGCTTTTCAACTCTTTATGGTGGCCAATTTACAATTTCAACTTAGTTTATAGAACCAAATTACCTTGTTACCCTCACCAATGCAGCACCACAGTTTCTTTAGAAACTTTCATACTTTATTCATTGTACTATAAAATGTTTGTTTTCTTTTGACCAAAATAATTATTTTTACTCCATTTTTAATTTCAACAGGCTGTAGATTCACATTTTGTGAAAACATGGATGGACTATCTTGGATCCCAAGCACGAGCTGCTCAGCTGTTCCATAAAGACCACCCATTTCTTACTGGATTAGAACAGGTAATAATGATCTTGCCTCTTGTGTGCATTGAAATAATGTTGAAAATGACATAATGGCAAAAAAGTGGGGATTAAAGTCATCATTGAGCTTACTATTGAGGAGATGAAAAATGCCCAAGACTTATTTTAATGTAGAATTGGTGTATTTTTGACGAAACGCTAGCAGATAATTTGTTTAATAATGTGTGTTTACTAATATTTACAGACTTTCTCAAAATTTGTCAAAGATGTTAAGAGATTCACAGCAAAAGCTGATAAAAGGTGGGGAGTTTTGTAACAGTGAATGGAAGTGTGATGTGACATTTGCACATCACAAACTAAGATTAGAAGCACTTAACCTCATTTGCAGAAATTCACTATATTTATCATGTTAGCCATATGCATGTGCGATTGAGTTCAATGCTCTCTTATAGGTTGCTGTGTTTGAGACCAAGAAAAATATATGTTTGCTATTATTTTGTTTGCCATACATTAGCATTTTAGAAAACTCTCAAATATTGTAGACTTTTTAAACCAGTGTTATGAATATTGTTACATACTGTATGCATGTTTTTTAAGGGACCCTGAGTTTGTCTTCTATGATCGGCCAGACACAAAGATGTTTGCATACAGGTAAGAAATGGGACTTGAAAGATAGTCACTGTGCATTGTTGATTCACCCAATGCAAATCTATGAAAGATCATTAATGGAGAACTTCTTGAGCAAATATGTATCGAAAATGATGGACTGGTGTTTTTTTGTAGGTTTGGAACATGACAACTGAATTGTGCTTCAAATAAGTTTCTTTTGAGTCGTATGAAAACAATTACATTAAGAAGTTTTGTTCCACAAGAACTTTCTGGATTTTATTATTTAAAAAAGGTGTTTCCTCAATTAATTATTTTTGTTTAAGGAATTGTTGTATTTTGGCCAATTCAATTGGAATTACCTGTCACAATTCATATATTATTCTTAGTGCATGCCTGTTGTCTTTTTCAGGGTGAAGCCAGCCGTCTTTGACTTGTTTCTAGCACTTGGCATTGCATCATATCTGGGAATGTTCTATCTTGCTCTTGCGGTATGTAATTAATTTAAAATTTTCATCACTCAAAGATACCTCTACTGTAATTACACAGTCTGATCTAAGATGTTTCATCCAGTTACTCAGATTGATTATTTGAGAGAAAGTGTTGATGACTGTAATTGTCAAAAGCTGGTCTCTGGGCCCTGATGACCTTCACTCCACAGCACCATCATGAACATTGTAATATCAAATTGTAGATCACTTTTGTGATTAAGGTGTACATGTGCTCTCCACTGTAAAACCACCCCACTCAGGTCTTTCAAACTGAGTATCTATTGATAAAAGTTTTACCTAATATCAACTCTTTTGCTTTTTTTATGAACAGAACTTCAATATTTTAACTGAAATTCTTCCGAGACCAGTGTCAAATATGAAGGCCAAACAACCTTGAACAAAGTAAGCAGGACTGGAGATATAAGAGCCTGTCTTTTTTCATGAATGGACTATGTCAGATACATGTCTTGTTTCATGCTATTGATTGGAGATCAAGAAATCCTTGTAGCATTGTATTGTATTGTTTTTTACTTCCCTGTTTTTACAGCATTGGAAAGACATTAAAACATTCCAATCAAAGTCGTATCTACGTTCTCTTTTCAAATTGGCGTTTAGGCATGTTGAGTGTGGCCATGGATCGAAAAAGAGTCCTGCCATACCATTAAGTTACAAAATTTGCAAGTAAAACAAAAGAACCTTTACCTTTTCTATAAAGTGATAAAAAAAATATCAGTTTACCACTTTGGTATGTCTTGTCATCTACTTCTACGGCAACAACCGCCTCCCGGTTAGCTCAATGGATAGAGCGCTGGACTTTAGTGCGGGAGATCGAGGGTTCGAGCCCCGGCCGGACCAACACTCAGGGTCTTAAAATAATTGAGAAGAATGTGCTACCTTTCCATAACATCAAGAAATTGTTAGATTTTCTAGTCTTCTCGGATAGGGCCGAATAAATGGAGGTCCCGTTTCCTGCAGGGTTAGGGGCAGGAGACGTTAATTTCCCGCGCGCGAGATTACTGTGTGATGGATGTCGGTCCCATCCTGGGGTGGGATGGGTGGGTATTTCTTGCCAAGAATCATCGCATAGATGGAGGGCAAGTATTAGTAAAAGAAATAAATAAATAACAAAAAGTAAGCTGCAGTAGTGTTTGGGCTACTTGGTTCCTATGCAAAGAACGTTTACTTTCTGTATGAACGATGCTCTCATCTCAGATGCTTGACTATACCAGGGGTTACAACATTGGTTACAAACTCCCATGAAGCTAATAGAAAGTTCTAGCTTGTTTTTAAAAGACATGTTCCCCCTTATGTCCACTTTCCTGTTTTCTTTACCATCCCCCACCATACAATAAAGTAAATGGTAAGTTATTATCACGATCGAGCTCATTTTTATTTAAGCGTGAACGATTGGGTTTATGCGGCTATATATTATATTGAATTGTAACAAATACATGAATGAAATTATTGCTAAGCTACTTGAAGTAACATCTTTGTTTGATTTACATCTTGTAACGTGTTGGTTACTTCATTGTACAAATTAAGTCAAAACTAACCACCGATACAATACAATACAACAACTTTTATTTCAACACGGTGGCGATTAAAGCGTTGCCGCTTATGGGGTCGTGCAATGAAACTAAAACCTAGGATAAAAATGTATTAAAATCGTCTTAATAATATAGAAAATCGTTATCATTATTGTGAGGCATTGTTTGTGGAGATTCCGCCTGTAAGTTTAAGTTGCGTAATTTGTCGGATTTAGAGGCCATTCTTGTATAGTTCCTGACATTGGATGTCTTTACGAGATCCGGGGTGAAGAGATTCCACACAATAGAAGCTCTAAATGCTATTGAATTTTTCATAAAATAAGTGTTAAAGCGTGGCACTATTACCGTGTTCATAGTACGAAAATGATGGATAGAAGAAGTCTTGGTTAAAATATGACCCATAGAGGGAGGGGTACAGTCATGTAAAATCTTATATGCTAATGTTGCCAACTTGACTTTATTCTTAAAGTGGAAGGAATCCCATTTGGCAGTCTTAAGTACTTCTGTGGTGGGCATATCTCGCGTTAGGCCGTATATTAACTTGGCAGCTCTACTGTGTAGACATTCCAGAGCAAGGAACCCATCCTTGTTAGTAAAACTTCCCCATATCGGCAGCGCTTAAGAAACAGAGGGTAAAATTAAAATATAGATCTAGGAGTATGTTGCGTGGTAAAAAAGAACAACGCTTTCGTAAATTCGATTTGTTAACAAAGCTTTTCTTCACTTCAGAAATGTGTTGAGCCCATGCGAGTTTATGCATTGCATACGTAAGTATCTTGTGTTATGATTCCCATAACCTAGCCTAAGGAATATTATTGTACCCACCGATAATTGGAGATCCGAAGGTCTCAGACTAACATCCAGGAACGCTTCTCATCTAAAATGGTTCCTTGTCATTTTATTTTAAATAGTTTTCCCACTGTGTGTTTTCTAAGTTGAATTAATTTCAATCCCCTCCCCCGCCTCGATTAAAAAAGAAAAAAATGAAAGAAAGAAAAAGAAAATATACCGACTAACTTCGTGAAATAGTTGGTTTGTAACTGACTAGACCTCAGTCGCTTATTGTTTTGGAAGATTGGGAGCTAATTTCGATCTGCAAGCTCTCCATTGAACTTGTTCCCTGGGAGGTTTGGACGGCAGATTGCACAACGTGGTAGAAGTATCCTCTTGATTGCCATCTGGAAAGGCCCACTTTTTAGAGCGTAAATTAACGGGTTGAACCTTATTGCTAACAAGTACAGTTTTAAGACTCTCAAGTCTCTACCTCGCAATCGTTTCACCTGCGTTCAGCGACTTACCGCTGGGCGGCTCAAAGGTTGTGATGAGATTCACAACGAGCAGAGGTGCGAAACAAGCCAACGCTGAAAACATGACGAGAGTAAGGTAATGTGGTATTATGGGTTGTGTATGAGCTTTACGTGGAATAATGCTGTTTTGGGACAACCATTCACTAGCTCTAGGAGTGGGTGGCCTCGCTTTCCTTTAATTTGTTTGATCAGGTTCGACGTTACCGTTACCCCCTCTAAGATACCCACGATCCATAGGAAAGTAATCGTAAAGGGCATGCGTTTTGTGGTCACCAAGACTGGGTATCTGTTGAGAAAATGAAGATGAGAGAAATGCGATAGAAGAGAGACAGTTTGCATTTCCAATATGTTCCTCCAATTAGCACTCTCGATTACTCCGGAGTAGCTTTGTTAAATTGCCGTTCAATCAATGCCTCGAAACCAGATTTCATGTGCTTGCTTGCTTGTCGCTTTTTGCATAAAATGGGTTGTTAAGGTAATCTAGGAGAATGAATTTACTGAAGTTCATAATAAGCTTTGAAATCTCAAGAGAAGACAACTAACAAGGATGCTTCTCATTGGCGCGTCCTATCTCTAAAATAAGCTGTAACAAGAAATACCCCGGGGGTTCAATTTAGAAGCGAAACTCTAATCAATTCCTACTCCTACCCCTGACAATTTAAGGTAAACATGAAAAGAGCTAGTACATGCTCTCGTTACATGCCCTTCATTTTAGCCCTGTGCGATTAGCCTTACAAGAGACAACATGCATTCACGTAACTATCATAGAGTCAACGCCCAAACTGGAAGGCCATTCTTGAATCACCCATTCAACTTAGATTTGAATTGCTTTTTGCACCACAGACCTCATGGGTTGTTTTATGACCAACATTCGATCCAATGATATGAACAGTAAGTGAAGCATAACAACGCAGAATAAAATCCAATCAGTTTTTGAAGACCACATGCACACGGTTTTAGCCCTCGGATCACATTCTTTGATGGTGAGAGAAAAGGAGTAACCCGCCAACACGGGAACAAATAACAGGCCTGCAACAGAGAGGCTGACAAGAAGATAAATGGCGGGTGTTCTCAGCGACTTGGTTTTATACACGGATATACAGATGAGGGTGTTCCTTACTGTGGCTGAAAGTGCAGCAGTTAGAGTTAAAAATATTGCGCTCGAGATGCGCTCTGGCGCATCGCAAGGTTTGTTTTCATTGCGTAACAAGTTCCGCATCCTCCTTCCGTCCATGACTCTGTTTCTTTTGCAATATTACAGCGTTTTCTGAGGAAAGGAACATCAGCAAAGGTTAATGCGCTATTTTTTTTCAGTTAATGGCGTTATCCCACGAGAACATTGAAAAGCTGTGAGCTTATAGAGTACGAGGTTGAATCTTTAAATCGTCTCTATCACTACCAATTTGACGATGAATCGACTTTTAAAAACAAGACAAATAATTCTACATAGTCCTCCTATATGCGTGAATAACCGAAGCCCTCTTAAATCGCAGTCTGTCTATGAATTGTTCCTCGCGACAAAACAATGTCCTTCCGAGGCAAGCGGTCGAAGAAGGAGAATGACTACAGTTGAGCTGTTTGGAGCATTAAATAAGACCTTCAAAGTGGAGTACACCCGGTCAATATCTGCATTGTTGACACCTTTATCCTTAGAAGTGATTGCTCCGTCGTAATGACTTTTAGTTGAAGTTGACATATCGTTCTAAGAAAGATGGGGATCTGGCCGAACAAAAAGAGTCTGGTGGAAAATTTGCTAAGCTCAGTTTCATAGAATCAAGTCAATACTTATCTACAAGATCTCACGAAGAACTTCAACTAATGACGTTAAGTATTCTTGTCCATAAACAGTAGTTCTGTGGTAGATGGGATTGACCAGAAGGTTTCGCCTTTTTCAGTCCAGATAAAGTACCGATGTACTTGCTTTGACAACAATGATGCTCTAATCGATACGAGGACTGGTAATGTGCAGCACTCGTTTGGTTGCTTTAACAAAAAACTTGGATTTTATAGGTGTCGGAGAGACGCTTTCAGATTTAATGTATTCGGCGCAAAACTCGTTAAAGTAAACTAAATCTATTATAACAAAACATTCTGAATTGCGTCACTATGTTTAGTTTCTTAATGAATTCTCCTTAGTCTTTTGTTGTGGAAGGCTGGGGGCTAATTTCGAACAGGGAGCTCTCCATTGTGAACGATCCTAGAGGGGTTTGCTCGACAGCTTGCCCAGCAAGGTCGAAGTATCCTCTTGAATGCTACTTTGAAAGGCTCACTTTTCAAAGCGTAAATCAAAGGGTTGAAGCTTATTGCTAATAAGTACAGAATTTTAAGGCTCGGAAAGAGCCTATACTTCACAATCGTTTCACTTGCGTTCAGCGAGCGACCGCTGGGCGGCTCAAATGTTGTGATGAGAGTCACAGCGAGCAGAGGTGCAAAACAAGCCAACGTCGAAAACACGATGACAGCTACGGTTCTGGCGGCGCGCATTTCAGTGACACGCCCTTGCGCGAAAGTGTCCTCCAATGTTCTTATCTGTTTGTATTGTCTGAAGGAGATCATGAAAATCCAAGCATGTGAAATCAGCATGATACCGCTGGGCAGTAAGGCAATAATTGTTATGAGAGTTAGGAAGTGAGGGATGATGCGTTGTAAGTCTCTCTCGTTTGGAATAAGGTTGTTTTGGAGACAACCTTCTATCAGCACCTGAAGTGCGTAAGCTTTTTTTCCTATAATTTCACTAATGATAATTGGCGAAAAACCTTCCAAGATGCCAACGATCCACAGGACTGTAATTGCAATGAGAGTGCGTTTTGTGGTCACCAAGACAGGGTATCTGTTGAGGGATGAAGCAAAAACGATGAGAAAACTGATGCATAGTTTGCACGAAGGGGGTTATCTCTTAAGTGGGATCTGTAGAACACCATAAATGGTTTGAAGCTGGGTGTAACATTTAATTAAGTTTTCTGGTCGTCTGAGGGAGAGTCGTCGTGAGAACGATTTTGTTGTCAGTTATGAATTCCGCAAAAGTCCTCCACTACCCACGAAAGTCCTTCTTAGGACTACTTTTACCTGGACAATCAAAATACACAATCCAATGTATTAACAAATTTAAGTTAAAAAAAGATTTAAAATGCTGGTGTTTTACAAACCTCATGGGTTGCTTTATGGCCAACAGTCGATCCAATGATATGAACAGTAAGTGAAGCATAACCACGCAGAATAAAGTCCAATCAGTTTTTGAAGACCACGTGCACACGGTTTTAGCCCTCGGATCACATTCTTTGATAGTGAGAGAAAAGGAGTAACCCGCCAACACTGGAACAAATGAAAGGCTCGCTACGGAGAGGCTGACAAGAATATAGTTGGCGGGTGTTCTTAGCGACCTGGTTTTATACACGGACATACAGATGAGGGTGTTTCCCATAGTGGCGGATAGTGCAGCAGTTATAGCGAGTGTTAAGAAAATCGCGGTCGACGTAGTCTCTCGAGAAGCGCAGGTGGTGACTTCCCCGGGACGTACGTGTGGCGTCTTCGTTCTATCCATAACTCCGTTTCCTATGCGATAAGACAACGTTTTCTGAGGAAAGAAAAGTCGGCAAAGCGGGTTGATGCTCTGTTTTTATTGCTTCATGGCGTTATCCAGTTCCCGAATCATTTATAGTGGAACCTCGTTTCAACGAACCTCTGTATAACGTATTCCTCGGTATAACGATCGAATGATACTTTTCAGCCCGGCTAAAGTTACAGTAAAATGTATGCCACAGAACCTCGATATAACGAAATCTTCGTTATAACAAACACAATCCAGAAGCCCAAACGTACACAGATACCTAGATATAACGAACTGATGTCAACACCTAACAAAAGACAAATGCGAAACAGACCAACAGTGCAGTACTATATAGTAGTGTTCTGTTGTTTAATACTTTACACATCGTTCATGTTTATTATGACATTTGACAAGTCAGGCACAAAGATTGAAAGGAAATTTCCGCGCTCTTTCTCTAAAATGAAAGGCGCATTTTAACGAAAGACTAAATATGAGGCAATTAGAAAAAGTTTTTGATTAAGCGTCTTGATTAGCAATTTTAGAAGTTGAATAAAGAATGACAAAAATGAGGCGATTCTCATTAGAAGAATTTTTGATTGGGCGCCTTGATTAGCAATTTTAATAGTAAAGTAAAGTAGTTTTCTTTTTTTTAGTTTCTGTTCGGTTGCGCTATTCATTAACTTTTCATTATGACATTTGACAAGCCAGTCGCAATTGTTAAAATTTTGTTGACCTCACACAAACATTAAAACAATTATTAACCATACCTCGATATAACGAACATTCCGGTTGTTTTTCCGCAAATTCGTTAAATTGAGGTTTCCGATATAACGAACCCTCGATATAACGAACCAATTTCCACAGTCCCTTGGCACTTCGTTAAATCGAGGTTCCACTGTACTGAAGTTTCAGCACATAAGTATACAAGTTTAAGCCTTCAATTTGTCTTTATAGCGACTGATTTTAAGATAAATTTACTTTTAAAACTCCAAAATAATTCTAGCTTTTTCTCCTGTACGCGTAGGTAACGCGAATTATTCCTTTAATCGTAGTCCTTCTGTGATTTGCTGCCATAACGAACCAGATATTCTTCCAAAGTATGTTGAACGGTAAGATGAGAATGACCAGAGTTGATTTGTCAGAAACAAATCCATCTTTAAACAACTAAAACACCCTTCGAGCGAAACACATCCACTCAATATTTGCATTACTATCATTTTCCTTCAAGGTAACCACTCTTTCATAATTAATTCCTCTCGGCTGAAATATCAGTAGTATTCATCGACTTTTGAAGATCTGACCAAATCACAAAGGCTGCGCATTTTAAATTAATAATTTGAATATATCAACAAAGTTGAAATGGTAAATTGGCCACCATTACGGTTATAAAAGCTGACGTTTCGAGCGTTAGCCCTTCGTCGGAGCGAATAGAGGAATTGTGGGTTGTGTGTATGTGCTTTTAAAGGCAGAAAATGGAGCTACGTGATTGGTGGGAACATGGCTACGAGAAAAACACGAATAAATTAGTGCAATGAAAAGCGTTCGTTGATACCTGTGGGATTTAGACTGCCAGTTTGAAAGATGAGCTTTTGTTCGAGAGTTTTGCGGCTTTCCGTGCTACCTATTAACTATGACCTAAGTGTAAGGAAAGACCGCGGATTGCCGTATGTTGCTTACTGGTTTCGATGTGTCCTTGTTATTCCTCTCCACGTCGCGAAGGTGTTCTCGGAATCGGTCACTTAGTCTTTTGCCTGTTTCGCCGATGTAAATCTTTTTGCAATAAGTGCAAGTTATGCAAAAGACTACATTGGCGGAGGTGCACTTGAAGTGATCGGTGATCTTAATGGATCGTTTGGGTCCCGATATTTTCTCAGTGTTGTGAATGAAAGGACACGTTTTACATCGTGCACGAGCGCATTTAAAAGTGCCTGGTTGGTCATTAGTCTGAAAAGAACTTCTGACCAAAAAATTGCCTATGTTTTTGTCGCGTTTAATGAAATGAGCGGATGCTGCGAAAAGATAGTACTTGTCTCTGGATCGTTTTGAAGTAATTTAAAGTTTTTAAGAATGATGGATTTAACTGAGTGGTTGTGAGGGTGAAACGTGAGAGTGAATGGAATGCGGTCGGAATCTTCCTT